GACACTTGGAAGAGACATTTTTTAAAAAAATAATTACCGTATTTTTTGGAGTATAAAACGCACCTTTCCCCCCCCTAAAATGGGGTGAAAATTTAGGTGCGTCTTATACACTTAATGTAGCCCCGCCCTCCCACTGGTCCCCACCCTTTGGCCTCTGCTCCCCAGCAGTTACCTCTTTGCAGCAAACAGCAAGAAAAAACAGCTCCTTTTAGCTTCAGCACATCCTAATTAGCACAAGTTGATTGGATTGGCCTCCCGACTTTCAGCTGTTTTGCTCTCAGCTGTTTTGCCAGGGCCTCTGCTGCTTGCTGCAAGGAGGTAAATTGCTGGAGCAGATTTTTTTTCCCTTGTACTAATCAAGCTATGCTGAAAATGAAAATGAAAGTAAAGCAGGCTGTTTGCTGTTTGCTGCAAGGAAGCAAAATTGCTCAGAGGCAGAGGCAGATTTCTTTTTCTTCTTTTCCTCACCAAAAAAGGTAGGTGTGTCTTATAGTCCGGTGTGTCTTATACTCTGAAAAATACGGTAAGATTGATCATACTCTCCCCCCCCCCAAAAAACAAACAATTTGAAAAAAAAATCTCCCCTAACTTTAATTCAGTGCTTCTCTGGCTCATCATAAAGCAGCCTGTTTGTTCAGGCTCCTTCATAAACATGAAACAAAATGCTGCTGTTGCTTTAAGGAGCAACTTATAAAAATAATGTTGCTCTTTAGGCAGTAGCATTGAGGCTCCTTGGAAGTTTAATAAAGGAGAGGCTCTTTTAATGAACAGTAGTGAGGTGGTCCTCTCATATGGCCCAAAGCAATTCTTCTTAATCATTTTCACATCCCTTTGGGATTTCTACTCCACAGAAATTTATTTTATCATTCTCTTCAGTAGCTGCTGAGGTAGATCAAGCCAGGAAATCAAATCCTGGAAGGCTAAAACTACTCTTACTGAGATTGGCTATAATAACAGAATCTCACAAGCTTGATTGTGCATCCTCTTATTTCTTATACTACAGTGGATTAAGTTTCCAAATGTTGTCTGGCTGATCTGGACTTAAAAAATGCTTTAGCCTCTTTTGCTTAGGAAATAGAGGTTCTGTATCTCCATTAAGGTCATCTCTTTTACTTGCTACAGCTTGGAATGATCTGAGGTTATTTACTTATATAATCTATTTATATGGCTGCCCACCTTGCAATAATGTCTCTGAGGGGTTAACCTGAGGTGAAAACTTATACAATGAACAATCATATTATATACATAATGACAAGCAATCAGTGTCAGGGGCTCAATTAAGTTTCTATGCTTGAGCCTGGTTTATGTTCAATCCAGGGGTGGGTTCTAATTTTTTTTATTACGGTTCTGTGGGCATGGCTTATTTTGTGGGTGTGGTTTAATGGTCATGTGACAATTCTTTAGGATTTAGCAGAGGTACTGGTCTACCCAGGCTTTTAACTGCTTGCAGAGCTGTACCGGTCTACCCATTTGTTTTTGGAGCATTCCAGTCTACCTATTTGTTTTTGGAGCGTACTGGTCTATCCATTTTTTTTAAAAAAAATTTTAATTTTTTGATTTATATGCCGCCCTTCTCCGGAGACTCAGGGCGGCTTACAATGCATTAAGTAATAGCCTTCATACTTTTGTATATTTATACAAAGTCAGCTTATTGCCCCCACAAACTGGGTCCTCATTTAACCTACCTTAGAAAGGATGGAAGGCTGAGTCAACCTTGAGCCTTGGAGAGATTCGAACCTGCAGAAATTGCAGGCAGCTGTGTTAATAACAGGGTGCATTAAACCACTGTACTACCAAGGCTTTGTTTTTGGAGTGCACTGGTCTATCACCACACTGCCTTTTACTGCTGATCAGCTGTAAGGCGGCCCTTTGAAGCGCTGTGGCAAGAGTTTAAACAGTTTTTGCTGAGAGCATCGGAAACTGCTTTCAGGCAGCTTGGCCTCAGTTGCCAATCTACCACCACCAAGCGGTTTACAAGGAGTGGATTGGTTCTAGCCAATCAGTTGGGAGGCTTCTTGGCTTCTCAATTTAAAGCTATGGTGTCTTGTTTTTTTTTTCTTCTTTGTCAAGTGAGTCCTGATTTTTTCCTTCTAGCCGATCAGCTGGGATTCGGGATGCAGCAAATAGATTGGGGCCGGGGCCAGGCAGAGGTGGTATTTACCGGTTCTCTGAACTACTCAAAATTTCCACTACCGGTTCTTGCGAACCGGGAGAACCGGTAGCAACCCACCACTGGTTCAATCCAATATCAATACATGTAGTTCAAATGCAGTTTATTTAAGAAATCATGGTTAAGCAAATAATGGCTTACTACAATGAAAGAATCCAAAAGATTTTTACAATCATCAAAGATATCATTAGGAAAAACCTGCCTACCAACACAATAGGTCATGGTATCTGTCTGCCTTCAGTCTCCATCTCAACAGTACTGTGTTACTTTTATGCACCACCTTTTTCCTCCTAGAAGTTTAAATTACTGACACAAGACAAGAAAATACTTAAGTTAAAATTTAAATATGGAATGTGTAATGTCCCTATTTTCAAAATTGTTCTTTGTAATACATTGTGAATATTTCAATACAACCAGTGATTCAAATTCCAGCAGGTACTTTCTTTTTTAAAATAATATATATTTTAACCTGTAAATCCAAATAACTGACAGCTCAGTCTAGATCATGTTATTTCCTATGTGAATTCCACTGCTTTAATTAGAAATTACTTACAAGTCTGCATCGTTACAATTGTCACTTAGAGATGGATTGAAGAAAAGCCAGAACTGACAGTTTAAAAGAATTAATACCTGAATGCAAAAGGAAATGTAAGAATTTTTGGATGCCAATGGAGAAATTTTTTGTCAGTCAGTTAGGATGGGAAACAGAAATATAATTTAAAATATAAACTGGAGCCTGTAGTACAGTGGACTAAGCACTGTTATTAACATCTACTGCTTGCAATTACTGCAAGTTCAAATCTCACCAGGCTCAAGGTTGACTCAGCCTTCCATCCTTTCAAAGGTAGGTGAAATGAGGACCCAGTTTGTGGGGGCAATAAACTGACTTTGTATAAATATACAAAAGTATGAAGGCTATTGCTTAACGCATTGTAAGCCGCCCTGAGTCTCCGGAGAAGGGCGGCATATAAATTAAAGCAAAAAAAAAAAAAAAAGGAGATAAATTTATTTCTCATATTTTATCTTTCTGTTGCTCCATCCTAATTTACTGACTTTTGCTTTCCCCTATGTTACATTGGATCCAGACATAGCTATGATTAGAATTAACCCATATATGTCAACATAATTTTGTTGTTGTCTCCCCTAGGGAGATAGCATTCTCTGTGGGAGCCCCGACCCTCTGGAATGGGATGCCCACTGGCCTTAGGACAGCCCCTGACCTCCTCTCCTTCCACCACGAATTGAAGACGTGGCTCTTTCATCAAATGGGCTGATCCGCAGGGGTGATTTTAAATAATTTTAATCAATTTTTAATTGGATTTTTAATGTTCATGTAATTTTTTGTTCCATTTCTTTGTAAGCCGCCCTGAGTCCTTCGGGAGAAGGGCGGCATATAAATTACATAAATAAATAAATAAATAAAATAAATAATTTCAAGATATCAGTTCTAAGCATGGTAAGACTAGGTGTAGGTGGATATATTTTGATAGATATAATACAATGTAAAATAAATCAGAGGTGAGGAATAATATTGATAATCTTGAAAGTTGAACAGGACAATTCTTTGTTATATTTCCTGTATTTTATGAAATCTAAAATCCGAATGCAGTGTATAAACGTATGATTGATATTACAACTGTGCACACCTTGATATCTGGAAGATGTCCAGGATTTGTTGAATAATTTCCTGACGTGTTCGATCAGGATTTCCAGTGAAGATCTTATTAGAATTACTTTGCTTAATTTTGCCTAATCTCACAAATCTTCCTTTGGGAAATGAGCAATGAAAAACAATCATTTTACATAGGTTGATTTTCAAATTATGGATTAAAGTCTTAGGAGCAGATATATTTTCTCTCTATATATCTGCTTGGAACTTGGAACACAATATATACAGTCACCTGAAATCATTACCTCTTATGCTGAATGAGGCTGGTTATCACATCATTAAGCACAACAGGAATATGAAAAGCTCTGCAGCTGATGCACACTGTCATTTTTCTTTGTCCAAAATATGAAAATGAAGCCTGGTTTTTCCTCCCAATCAAAGGAATCAACATGAAATCACAAAATATAATCACAAAATATTCCAGTTTCTAGACCTCCAAATATCTCATTTTGAACACATACGGCAAAGTGAATTAATTTGTAAGGTTGGAAACAGTACAGAGTTGGTATTTGTCCTAACATGGCCTCAACTTTGCAACTGAAATAAATAAATCAAGGAAAGGGAGATAGCAAACAACCAAAGCAAAGCAAATGGCACCATACCATATGGGAATGTTGTCACTTGGCAACATTCTGTTTTCACAAAGAAGAAAGTTTCAGTGAAACCTTCAGCGATGCAGTGTGAGGTATTGAGAATCAGTGGGATGCCCAGGGAATTTTGTGTCATTAAATGCAAGCCTGAAATTATAACTGTTCACTCAGGTTTTTATTTGTCTGAGGAATAACACAAAGATTTGATGCTTTCTAAAGGTAAAAAATAACTCTTATTTCAATGAATGCAGTTTATTCTATTGAGTAAATTGTTTTTTTCTTTTTTTTGGTGAAAAGACTAAAACCCTTTTTTGTCTAGGCTTTGATAGAGATGACAACTGTTGCTGATATTAACAACAAATGGAAAATCAATAAATTGACACAGGCAGTTTTGTAAAATACTGCCAACAACAGAGATTTCTTCTGATGTTAAAGGCACACATACTTTCTCTGAGTTTTCTCTCAAAAAATTGCTTTTGAATTCAGCATCCTCTCAAATAGTCTTTTAAATTAAATGTTGTCCAGCTACTGTACATTACATTGTACTCTAGGCAAATTTCCTTCCACCCACCTTCTATTCTTACTGACAGGTAATTATCATTTGCAATTGCTGTCACATGTACTTTTTCAAAATGATTTCCTCTTCAACAATGGCCAGCAACAAAATGTGGCATAATATTCATGATGTCCACAGAGAATGCTATCTGCAAATGAATAACAAATTAATGGAAAGTTAGCAGTGAAGAAAGGAAACACTCCCCATCTTAGGTGGGTATTTAATCACATGAATTTTAATTATCTCAAAAATTTTGATGTACTGTTACTTGTCACGCAAATTTCTTTATGCATTTAAAACATTTATAAACCTATCCCTCTCATTATTTATTTATTTATTTATTTATTTATTTATTTATTTATTTATTTATATTTGAATTTATATACCACCCTTCTCCCCCTAGGGACTCAGGGCGGTGAACAGCCGAAATTAAAATACATACAATATAAAAGTTAAGATAGCTAAAATAAATTAAATCAATCGGCCCCCAATTTAAAACCCCAAAGCTATACAATTAAAAACTAACCCATAAAACCTAATTAGGCTAGGCTGGCTTGCTGAAATAAAAACATCTTCAGGGCCTTATGGAAAGTGCAGAGATCCGGGATCAGTCGTATTCCGGGAGGAAGCTCATTCCAGAGGGCGGGTGCCCCCACAGAGAAGGTTCTCCCCCTGGGGGCCGCCAGCCGACATTGCTTGACCGACGGCACCCTGAGGAGGCCCTCTCTGTGAGAGCGTATTGGCCGGTGGGAGGTTATCGGTAGCAGAAGGCGGTCTCGTAAATACCCTGGCCCTAAGCCATAATACAATGAGTGTGAGCAGTAAATAAGGATTCAAGCTGAAACAAAATAGCAACGCAAACCAACAGGATAAGTATACAAAAAAGTGTGAGGTCTAAGGACATTCCACTTCTAGTCCAAGAACTAGAACCAAATTGATCAACCACAAGGCTCATTTAATCTTGTGATCCAAAACGTGGGATGACATACATTGCAGACCAGCTGTGTGATGTTAAAATCTTTGATTTTTACATTTATGTGGATAATTCTTACTGGCATCTTTGGAGGAAAAAAAAAACCCCACTTAGAATATTTCCACCAGGCATCTCTACTTCTTCATCAGTTTGGAACGAGCTCTTTGATACAAGGGATCAGATAGTTTTGAGAAAAAAAAATGTTTATTTATTTGCTTCTGAGAATTTGGCTTTTTGTTCTGGATCTGCTGAGGTTTATTTGAAGATCCTTATTTCTTTGCCTTTTTGGCTTTGCAGAGTTCATACTCAATATTTTCTCATTGGTGGGAACTCTTGATTCAGACTACATCCCCATTCACAAAACTTTCTTTTCCATGCCATAAAGCTAAGGGATCTGTTCCTTTAACTGTCTATGTTGAAGATTCATCTCCCCCAGCCACAAAACTGCTGAGATGCTGTAGCATGGAAAATTCGAAAATGTACCATAGAGTTGGTATCTGAATGGAGTGGAGGGGGGGGGGCAGTGTCTATCTATTTATTTTATTTCATTTTTCTGTGGGGTGGAGATTGGGGAATTTTTGTAACTCTGGGACCTGAGGTGACTTGAAGGAAGAAAATTAAAGAACTAGCAGTTTTCTGTTAGAGGAAGTAGTGATTGCTCATGGTGATGTCTGCTTATTCTCTATGCTATCTGCTTTATTGTCTATTCTCTTATTCTATTAACTAGACTATGAAAACCTTATGATGCTTATGATGCTATAGTAAAGTAACCTGGCCTTGTTTATAAGGTTTCAAAAAGTAGAACCTCTCTTTCTTCCTCTCTTCTTTATCCTGCTGTTCACTTTCACTCAGGCATTTCTGGAATAGATTCTCACTCTCTCCCTCTCCCTCTCCCCCCCTCTCTCTCCCCTCCCTCCCTCCCCTCTCATTGCATTTTTCTATCCAACTATTATTATTAGATGATACTTACATTTTAAACACTCTTTTGTTGGGTATTCTTCCTATTTTCTGCAGATATTATCAGTGAGAAGCAGAAGAGCTCCCTATGTTGTTAACACCCCCATAGGGGGTGGGAAATAGCGGTAAAATAAAGTCACCAGTTGTCATAGCAACCAGAATGCTGGTAACAACGCCCAGCAATTAAACAAGGTGAGGTGTAAAGTTGTTATGGCAACTATACATTTTAATCAAAGCAGCTATATTTATCAAGGAAAAATCAAATTAAAAAATCAAGAAACAGTACCTCAAGTTTGAGTCTGCAATGTCTTTAGCAAATTGATTTAGGAAATATCAGCTTGTAAAAAACAAAACAAACAAAGCTAAATTTCTCCTGGTAACCTCATAGAAACATCCATATAGTTTTATTGGCAATTATATGGAAATAAACCTTCCTATATTATGTTTCTTTACTTTCCCATGTTAGTGATTGCAGAAGAAGATATAAAACGCTACAAGCCATTAAAGCTTATCTATTGTAGTTAAAACTGGCATATTTGAAGGGTTACACAAGGCTTAAGTCTCAATTTATGTAATTTTGGGAGAAGATGTTGCTGTTTTTAAGAGTTGCAAACAGGTGTTTCATTTATACTCCTCTGTGCTGTAAAACATCTATGTTGCTATATGTATTGTCTCACTAGAAACATAATTATTCTTTTTGTACAAGCAATGTCATTGGATAGCTTTCTCATGGTATTTTTTTTCTTCACACACTGTGCCTGGTTTCTGTCCATGGATGCTTTCATGTGGAAAAAAATAAAGAACTCAATAAGCCAGTGAATCAATGAGAATTATTTTTTTTATTGCTTGCTGTGTTTGTAAGGAAAAAAAAAAAAAACCCACATGGGCTCTTTGTACCACTCCAGAATCAAGCCTGGACCTCTGTGTTCTTATAAATATGCCCATGCACATATTTAGTAGTTGAGGTAATTAATTTCTGGTTTAACTGCTGTATATCTGAAATTATTAAAAAAAGATATATTTATTTTGGAATAATAAAATCTTGTAGCGTTTCTGGGAGATTTGATTTATCATTAGTAGGAATTCTTTTCTCCAGTGGAAGAGATGTAACTCAGGATTGAACTATGGAGTCCTTAGTGATCTCTGCACTTGGTTGTTTGCTTATAGACATTTCATTACCCAACTAGATAACTTCATTAGTGCGTGTGAATCTGGAGTATGCTGTTTATTTGTATATAATAGAATTCTCTGCCAGTTTTGGTGGGACTGTGGTTTCCCCCTTGATGGGTTTTTTGATTATTATTTTCTATCTGATTCAAAAAAGACAATAACAAAACCTAGGAATGAAACCAAAAGACTAGAACACATTTCCTTAGACAGATAAGCAAGGATCAACAACAGGCAATGTTACGGCAAGCCAGAGGCCATGTGGCAAGGATGCACAGCTGATTGGTCCGCCAGCATGGCAACTAACTGGCGGGATATTGGAACATGCTTATTGAGCGCTGAGGAAACTGCTTGCTCACCAGTGTTAGTAGTAAGGAGCGAGTCATGGTTAGACTTTACTGTTATTGAATAAAGAGCTGTTAATTGTTAACCCACCACGCCTCCGTCATTATTGTTTTAAGTTTACAATACGCAATTCATTCAGAAGCCTATCTAGAGCCAGTGCAGCTAGCAAAGTAGTAATATTACATAGACATACTGAGCTATGCTCATAAATACCTCTGTTGGTATATTCTCAATCAATTATAATTTCCAGATAGTCTTCAAGGGCAACCACAGTAGAGGATGAGGGAATTTTTTGTTATGCAGGCCCTGTGGCAGCTTGGGAAAGGACCATGACATTTTGTTCTTTATTTTCAGCATTTTGACTCAATAAACAATAACTTCTAAAGGGTCAGGAAACAAAAGTTGTAGAAATGTGGAAGTGACCATCCAGGCTGAAATTGAGTTAGATAACTTGTTTTATTCTAACACACATGGAATTATCTAGCTCAATTATCTAAGCATTTGATAAAAAGTTTATAATTGTCTTAACTCATGAGACTTATGTCTGTCTTTCAAGCAAGTCTCTCATAATTAAAATACATTAAATAACTTGTTGGGCGGAATAGTTAGAAATTAAAAGTAAAAAATGGAAACAGTTTGTCTATATCTGCATAGAAAATCATTTCAAAATATCTTTGAGCTAAATGTTGGAAGAAATTCAACTTTGTTGAAGACCACCTTTCTTCCAGAGAACTTCTTAGGTGGTAGAAGGCCATTCCTTTCTCATGCATCTTTCCTTTTGGAAATCTGAAATCTCCACACTGCAGTACGCTTTTCTCAAAGGTGCTTTTTTCAAAAGGCAGTTGGACTGTTTTATTTTTCTTGAGGAAGATGTTTGGCTTCTCATCCAAGAAGCTTTATCTGTTCCTATACAAGATGTTCTGTATCTACACCAGTTTTGGTTGAACCAGTGTGAAGCCCAGTTATTTATGAACAACTGTATTTGGATTCTCCATAATTTCTGTTCACAAAAGTAGACAATCACATAATAAACTGTATCTCTTTAGAGAAAGTTGAACTGAAGTGAAGTGAAAGTTTTCAAAAAACACACCTCATTGTACAATTTTAAGACATTTACTGGAAAACAATGAGGTTCCTTAGAAAAGCAAAGCTGTCCCCCAGGGTAAAGAAGAGAGGCACAGCAATATAGTCTGCCGTTATTTAAAACTTGGATTTTCTGAATTTAAGTAAATCCAAATGTCATTTCCTTGATTCCAAATGTCAAGACTTGTGTATATCTCTAGGGTTACCGCCTCTTAAAATGCTATTAAATAACAGTCTGGGACAAACAAAGGCATTTCTAGGACTTTTACCTCAGAAGACAAATGTCAGTATCCAGCTGTTGCTTAGATGGGACACAAAAGAAAAGAGATCAGCGGTATCAAAACGCTGAAAGGAAGGACTTTTTACCACCTGTCACATCTCATTTCAAGGTCATGGCTGAGATCCAGAATGGGTATCTGTGGGCCTGCATTTTCTCATTTTTGCTTTCTAGTAATAATTTAGGCCTGGACATAATTTGATGAAATGAAAAGCTAATGAAGGACAAACAAGTCAAGTACTCCACCATGCGCATGTTAACTAAAGGGAAGGGTTGGTGCTATTGGATAAAGATGGCTCCCTTTCAAGATACATAGCGCCATGCATGTCTTCAGGGAGGATCATTGCGGCATAGCAACCTGACTAGCGTTTGAGTGATGAAGCATTTCTGTGCATTCAAGTCAATTTAGAATGAATGACATCTGCTATTAATGTTTTGCTACAAAATGAATTCAGATTAGCCTCTCCCAGGGTCCTGTGCTATTAATTAATTAATTATGTTTCTTTGATTAAGGACATTGTGTAATAATTTAGAAGGCAACAATGCAGCAAACCGAGGAATCAAAACATGTTATTATAGGGCCCTTGGTGGTCTCTGAGCTTGGTTGTTTTCTTGCAGATTTTTCATTACCCAACTAGGTAATATCATTAGTGTTAGGACTGATGATGTTACTTAGTTGAATAATGAGACATCTGCAAGAAAACAACCAAGCTCAAAGGCCATGAAGCACCCCACAGTTCATCTCTGAGCTATAAATATTATCTTCTATTGGTACATGTAACTATAAATATCAGCTAGCTGGAAGATTTGAAGTACAAAAGTGATTGCCTTGTTTAGTGACTGCAGTGATAAAAAAGTAACTTTGCAACCAATCCTTACATTGTAATGGTGAGAAAGGCCTTGAGAATATATTGCCTGGGCAGTTTCTTAGTCTTTCTGGCTTTGTAGACTAGTTGGGTTGTGGGGGTTAGGGGAGAGGGGATGATTCAATGCAAGTGGTGGGCAAGTGTGTATGTGTGCACAGTTCCATTTGCAAAAGCAATGTGTGCCTGCCGCTCATGCAAATGGAGCATATGTGACTGCGCTTGCCCACTGCTCACACAAATGGGGATATACACTTGCACTCACCTGCCATTTCCACAGCCCAATTCTGAAGGGCTCAAGGTAGTGGGTCACGGCCCATGGGTTGGGGAATGGTCAGATAAGTGAAGGCATGGTCCACAGCTGAGTGGAGTAGAGAAAAGATTCAGAAGGAGACAGCGGGAGATTTGTACTTTCAGATTCGTAGAATTCTGTTAGTGTAACCTCATAATAAATTAGAATTAGCTCATCTGGTTGTATTTCCTGTCTGGTCTCTAACTTGGAAGGCTGACATCAATCTTTCAAGTCTGACAGTACAAATCTCCCACCATTTTCTTTACAGGCTGAGAAGCCAAGTAGGGTTTTTTCTAAGCCTCTTTCTCCAGCCATCGTGCAGCAGCGGGCTATGCCATCTCTTATCCGACTATTCTATAGGAAGCATTTTTTCATTCCATGACTGAAAATATTCCTCACATACTGCTATATGCATTTATGACCTTTGCAGTTCTGTAAAGCAAATTAAAATGGAATTAAGATCATAAACATATTTGCGTTTTCACTTAGCAACCGTTTTGCTTAATAACCAAGTTGCAGGTCCCAATTGTGGTTTCTAAACAAGGACTACTTGCCTTTGCCTTAATGTAGGAGACAGAGAGTAGATCTTCTGTTCTCTTCTATGCACCTTACTTCAACTTGTCGGTAAAAGAGAATGGGTCAGATTGATTTTAATCAATTTTTCCTTAAGTATTCTGATTCAGAGCTGTAAAAGGTTTCAAATGTTGGCACTGTAACTTTGGTTTGAACTTAGAAGTGAACTAGAAATAGACAAGAAGCTGCTGAATTGTTTTAGAGCATGGATTTAAGGTAAAACACTGACTTATGTTCAACTATAATTAATAGCCTAAAGGCAATATTTTGAATTTAAGGAAATTACACACAAGGCTAGTTTAGAGGTTATAGATTATGCTATATCAGAGGTGGCAACTTATTAATAGCAAACGATTCACATCAGCCTTTGCAATTATGATATTATGCAGAGCACCGGCAACATTTTTTCTGTGTGAATGTTGGGGTTTTGAACTGGGTTTCAAGGTGGAAGTATACCTCCCGAGGGCCTTGTGCATCATAACAAATCAGCCATTTTGTTGGCCAGTCTGGAAA